GAAGCCATGGCTCTAAAACTAATGGACATTCATCTTATTTAGCTTATGGGTTGCCTTTCGGAATATGATTCAGAGCACCATTCGATTGATGCACGCCAAGTAGAGGAACCCACTTTCCCGTTTCCATCTTGTTCAACTGATAAATTGTTTTCTGAATATGATTCAGAGCACCATTCGATTGATCCAAGCCAAGTAGAGGAACCCACTTTCCAGTTTCCATCTTATTCGACCGATGAAGTGTTTTCTGAATATGATTCAGAGCACCATTGGATTGATGGAGCCCAAGAACAGGAATCCACTTACCATTTTTTCTCTCAAAGTACACACGATGATTACAATGAGAGAGAGGAGCAAAAAGGGTGTGGTAAAGTCACAAAGAGGGAGAGGGGTTCCTTAGATAGAGGAGAATCAAGGTTATCGACAGTGGAGCAGCGAAGCAATCACACCATTACCCCGGCTCAATAACTTATTACATTGAAGTCAGAAGCAACAATGGGACTAGGAGAGGGAGGGGCCTCATCAAACATATGAAGCAAAAAGCTGTGAATCATCTTTTATCAGTTAGATGGAGGTTGGAGTGTAAGGTATGTGATAAAAGATATGCTTTCCGTTATATTTCAGCGAGCAAAAAAGCTTATTACTCTCTCCTTCAAGCATCTATGGCATATCAAGAAGCAGAACTTTCACAGAGGAGTTGCACAATCGATGAATTGAGCTCTGATATCATGTTAGAATTCATGGGAACATACATGCATAGACATTAAATTGGGAGAAGAAAAGAGAACATTGAATTTGGTTGAATTGGAAGAATAAGAGAGAACACAACATTTTGAATTGGTTGAATTGGGAGAAGAAGAGAGAACACAACATGTACGTGGTTATATTCACAAATCCAAAGCCCCAACTGGCTACATCTTCACTATTTTGGATAAATGTGTATATCAATAAGTACCTCTATGTAAAGGAGAATCACACAATTACATCATGAGATAAATATGGTAGGAGTCATCAAGTAACTTGGTCTCTATCTTCTAGATACCTAACCTTATCAAGAGATATCTACATACACATCCATAATGATGTATATCAATATGAACCCGAGATATCCATATCCCAACCCAAACAAATAAATTGTTATCAATAAAAAAATTTCGAATATACCCTTTAGTTTTTTGCTTTTTTATTACTGATACGCCATGTGGACAAAACTATATTAGAATTGGCAGGAGAGCAATCCACCCCTTTGAACCCTAGTTTATTGCTTTTGTATATTTAGTACTTTTGATGTCCTTGGCAAGTAGCGTTTCAGAATTCGTTGATCCATATCAGGAATAGTCATTTGGGTATAGTTGCGTACAAACTCAATATTTTATGAGAAATGGGATTTGATACGATTTTGACAAACTTACCCGGTTCTATAAGAGAGTTGGGCAAGTTTCTCAAGGGAACCAAGTGACATGGATTGCCTGATATAGCCCAGTTCTCAACACATTTTATAATTTCATAAATTTAAATTTTTTAAATTAAAACTATTATTTATTTTTAAGACTTATTCTCACATCGGATAATAAATCCGTTTCGCCATCTAGATGATAAGTTCACCGATTCAGACCATATTTACAGAGAGCCAGTCCGCCCAACCCCTCTGTTGTTTTCTTGAAACACTGCACACCGGTGTAAATCACACACCGTGCTCTAAAACTCAAGAGCATCTTAATTAAGTCTAATGATACTAGAGCGCTTCCTTATTGTGGCATCTCAATTGCTTTTTTGTTGGGAAAGATTACATTTTTATTTCATTGACCAATTATTCCATTGACCAATCTCAAACTTAATTTTTTCGAACTTTATGACACATCCAAACTATCAAATTTTACATTAAATGGTTGTAAGGAATTGTGACCACCTCGTATAAAAAGTAAATGGTCTTATTGTACAATCCCTTTATCAAAATATACATAAGAGATGAAGTATCCAACATTTTACCCGATTATTCGAACATCAGAACATATGAGTATTTTAAATAAAATCAAAAGGTACCGAAAGAAAAATGGAATTGTTCATCTTTGATAGGTATTTTGATCAATTTTCTATGCATTTCCATATACAACTTGTACTCCATTGTTCACAAGATCTCCCATGCATCTAGTCATCCATTTACTAAAACGAATAACTTGGTAATTGGGTGATAATGATTAATTTGGAGGTTGATGATGGAATGGTGAATGTTCCTTGTGAAGAAAAGAAAAAATTTCCGTAAGGCCAATTTTGAATATAGCCGAGGCTCAAATCTCGTCGGAAAAACAAGTTGTGGGGTTGCACTTCGATAATCATGGATCTGAAGAAAAAAAAAGAAAAACATTTAAGCCCTAAAAATTGCATATCTTGCTATTCTATATATTATCCAAATCTTCTTAGATTTATGCTATTTTTGGAACTCCAAATTCTATTGGATTTGTACGCCATGATGATGTATTCTAACACCGGATTGAGTTTTTCGAGAGGGATTTGAGGTGTGGTCGCATACAGCTGTGGCCTCACCAAAACCTCCACTCTCCACCTTGCTTATGTCCCACGTTTGCACGATTTAAGTTGCACAAAGTCATGTGGAGCATACTTACCATTTATTCTCAAGAGAAGTATAACATAGACCTATATGCATACCATGTAATACAATGCCACGTAATACAAAGTGATTATCGAGTGTAGATTTCCATTGCCGCAATATTTGCATAACATTCAAAATAAATGGTCAGCAATATCGTGCAAAAATGTAACTTTGTATGATCCACATGATCATGTGTAACAATGTCGGTGCAACGATCATCGAAATCCAAAATCAACGACTTGTGAAGAATGGAGAGAACGATGTTAGTTGTTGGGGCCCCTCCATCACCACCCAACTTGCTTATTCGACGATGATGACCCCTATCACGGTGCTCTGTTACTATAATCACATGTCTCTTAGACTCTAAGTAGGGTGGTCAACCGGTCACGGTAAAAAAATAATAGGGCCTGGGCTACAAAAAGTGACTTGAGAGCTGGGGCCCCGGCTAGGTAACCATGATCAGAGGACAGGGCCTAGCCGGGCCAAATCTAGGGCATGCCCGAACCAAATAAGCCCTGCCCGACCTTTTATTTTATTATTATTATTATTTATTTGACAAGACCCGCCCTGCCCAGTGTTATCAAGGCTAGGGCGCCTCTCCTCATCCGGGGCGAACGGGCCCCACAGGATTGCCAGCCCCTGCCCTTACCCCTGCCCCTGCCCCTGAGCCTTTGTACACATTCCAAATTGCAAAGATGCCCTTCCAATGATCCCATGGCGTCAAAAGCCAGCAAAAGAGTGGCCACGTGCCCGTTATCCTTTCGTACACAGGAAATCACGTGATCGACCGCTGCTCACCTTAAAACCCACCACTCAAAACCACCGACTCGCCTTTCTCCACCATTTTAATGCCCCATGATGCCTTTTTAAAAACCCGGACAGCCGATTGAACCGGCCAACGAACGCAAAGGTCCGAGTCGGCGGGTTTGGTGATTTAAATCAGTAAAAATTTAGGATCACCCCAACCAAATCCAATATGGAATTGCGCAAATTTTGTTTCAGATTGTTGGATTTGAAAATACTCATTATAACTCTTTGTAGTATTGGAATGTTGTGTAGATATATATAAAATAATATCATTTAGCTTCCATCCTTGGAGGTTATAATCATCCTTGGCAGTGAGAGATGAAATCAACCCGTAATTATTATGAATTTAAGAAAAAAACGATTTCAAGCTCTAAAAAGTGATGCATATTGTAACGGAAAAGTCTTTCGTGAAGTAGCGGGTGGAAGAGCCCACTAACTTACCAACCTCCATCTTAAAGATGGACATTGTAAAAAACTCACGAGGTTATGCACGATGTATATTTTTTTTAAAAAAAGAATCGCATTTTAAATATCAAATTTTTAATATATATTTCTTGTTCATGATCATCTTAACTTAAATCACGAATTCCTAAAATTTTAGATTATAATCCATTCCTAAATTATAGTATGAGTAAGCTGATTCATAGAAACCCCATCATTTTGTAATACTATTTAGACCTTCTATTTCAAGTAGATCCACGAGATCTTTACTGAATTTTAAGTTACAAATTTTACGCAATAGATTTTAAAGAGAATTTCTCATGCTTAAAGTATTTTTCCATTTGAGGTTTTGAAGCGAGGCTTTACTTTATCTGTATAAGGCCTGACTTAGGCCTTGTAAGCCTTATGGAAACCGCTTTCTTTTAGTTAGTAATCAAAAGATGAATAATAAGGATGAATAATAAGGATGTTATTTTATCCTCTCTTTTTTTCTAGGGTTGTTGATGAATCCAATTCCGTAACTTAAAACAACTAGATTTCAATTAGGTGAGATATCAAAAAAAAAAAAAAAAAAAGAAAGGAGTTTCCATTTTGTAGGTGATCCTTAATGGAAGTTGATGTTGATCATGCACCAAACAACCGAATATTCGCGAAATATCGGTAAAAATCAGAAATTTCGTCCCCCGGGAAATTTAGAAATGTTGGGATTTTAGACTATTTTAATGATGATTAGAGAGGCTGATTGCAGTAACACTTATGACATCAAGACACGTGTCACGATAATAAGCACATAAAATGGGAGCAGTGTAGTTCCAATTGTTTGTTGCCATGTGGATTCGTCTCCACCAAGAAAGGAACAAAATCCCACCACCATCCCACTTTGCCCAGCTTTTATTCTCTTTATAAGGATGCAACCACCTTCGAAAATCCATCGTTTTAATGGTGAAAAATCCTTTGGTTGATCATCTCATCTCATCCATGACTATGGAAAATAAAAAAATTTTAAATCTGAAAAATACTACATTTTATAATATATTGTTTTTTAGATTTTCATATTTTTAATAGATCTACTTGATTTAAACCATTTTTAAAATTCAAAATTTTATAATAAAATATAAAAATAAATTTTAAAATAATCTTAATAACATTTTACTTCAAAATTATATACCATGATATAATTTAAAATTACACCTTACCTCTACACCTACGGATGGATGATTGCTCATAACCAACCTCACTCACTCACACAGACACAAGGCCATAACCAATCTCTCAATGTACTTACATATCTCTAACTCTCTCTCTTCCTCTCATATTCTAGTACTGGTTTTTCCTTACATATATCGACAAGATATGTAAACCCTCAACTCTCTCTCTCTCTCTAAACAAAACTCCTCCGTCATGTTAATGGGCATCACGAAATGCATGATCTCATTCATCCTCACATTTGTAACCCTCTTCCTCCTCTCTCTCATCCCCTTCTCTCTCTCTCCTCCTCCTCTAACACTCGCCGGAAAAGGCCTTGCACACTCCAATTCTACCTCAACCCTCCCCAAATTTGCCTACCTAATATCAGGCTCAAAGGGTGATCTGCAGAGATTAAAGAGAACGCTGAGAGCTCTCTATCACCCCTTGAATTTCTACCTCCTCCACCTTGATCTCGAAGCTCCGACTCATGAGAGAGAAAAGTTAGCGGAGCATATATCGAAGGATCCGGTTTTTGCAGAGGTTAGAAATGTGGAGGTTGTGGAGAAGGCTAACTTGGTCACTTACAGAGGACCCACTATGCTTGCAAACACACTTCATGCCATTTCCAGGCTCCTTAGAACGGCCAATTGGGACTGGTTCATTAATCTCAGTGCTTCGGATTACCCCCTCCTTACTCAAGATGGTGAGTTCTCTCTCTCTCTCTC